CTGAACACAAACTATTCAAGATCACTATTAAGTTTAATTTGAATTGGTTTTGTTTCTTCTAAATCGTCAGCTGACGTGGAAGTCAACATCATGGTATTATTTCATGCTATTTAAGTTATAAGCAGCCAGGTGGAGAAAGCAGCTTGGTATTTCTCATCACTGTATGGCTGCACGACACAAAGCATGTCTCTTTCCTCAGCATGTGCAAGTGCTTTCAGTAGAAAAACAGTAACAAACAAGAGATGATCAAACATTTATGTCTTGAGGATGGTACAAAGGCATCACCAAAAACCAAGAAACCCTTACAGTGAGTTCCATATGACTAACACAATCAAAATACCCATATTCAGTGCAAACAATCCATTTACAACTGTAGAAGATCAAAAGTAAAAAAAAAACATTACAACTCACTTGAAAGAAATTCTAAGAGGGGGATTGCCATATTGGCTGTAGCAGAAATGTGGGTTAATTTGACTATTAAGACAGGAAGTGCCTTTATGATGATGTCGGGCATCTCGACACTGCAGACAGAGAGTGCCACAACGCACTGGTTTGCGCAGCGATAGATAAGACCGTGTTCCAGGCAATACACGATTTCACGCTAGAAGAGTAAAAAAGAGAAAAAAAAGTCATAATACAGGGAAAGAGAAAACTTCTGATGTGCCATGTCCTGATTTCAGTTAGCGTTTCAGAACGGCTTGCAAGGTATCACTACTGCAAGGCCTGTATGATGCATATAAATTCTTATCCAAAAGGCACTAACACAGAATCCTAAATAACATTGCATGTATTCTAGGCCAAAATCTCAAGATGGGACTTTAATCAAGTAGAGATTTTAGAAATTAGTATTCAAGTTTCTGATCAAATGGAATTTTATCTTCTTCTTTACCTTCTTCCAGCAGAAGGTAAAGCCACTCAGGAACCTGCAAGCGGGGACAGGTATGGATGGAGAACACCAAACCCAAATGACCAGCCAGTTACTGCTGCACAAAGTTAGCAAAGTGGTTTTTTCACCCCTGACCCCACTCCAAATACTTCCGAATCAGCTTTTTATAACAGAAAAGGGCTGTGTTACCTTGCACTTAAGTCTCCTCATCAGCTATTATGAGAAAATGATCTACCATACAGGTTCAGGCCCCATCCCCCCATCCCCTCCTTCTTTCCCCTTACCTGTTTAGCTTTGTCCAGATAGTTATGATAAGATATTAATGCCGTCAGTACTGGGACTACAGCCAGATGCAAATCCGTGCGAGAAAAGCCTTCTGGGGTACCATGAAGCCTGTCCGTAGTCTTTTTGTCTGTGAGCTGATACATCACACAGTAGGTTAGAACACCTCACACTAAAAATACTCTCTAAAAAAGAGAGGCAATGCCCATAGCTCCCTTTTCACATTTATACATACATACACAGAGAAAAAACACTCATCATTATCTACTTCTGTACCTAAACCAATCCTCACAAAAAAGGGAAGGTGAATGACTGACAATCAGTATGCTAATCTTCAAAATATTACACTGAAGAAAACAAACAAAAAACCTCAAAAAACGCCAAAAAACTCCCCCAAACCCAACCAACTTTCAAGCAACCTAGGGTGATTATACATCAGTAGGGTGCATGACATTACCATGTAGCTCAGTGCAGAGGCCAGGAGGTCTATGTTGCAAGGAGAGGTTAAAAATAGCACTTTATAGCGGAGGGATTCAGGTAATTTGTTGAGGACCAACTTCAGCACCTTCCAGTCTGTCTCCTGGAAAGAAAGAAAAAGTTAAGGTGAAAAATTTTGCTACAATTTCAGTTCAGTTTGAAAGTCAGACCAAGGAAATTTCAGACAACTTGCCATTTCCTAGGCAGATGTATGTCTTGCCACAGTAGCTACATAAAAAGAAGTGGCATTCAGCTGTCACAAGTTACTTCCTGTCTGTCATCCAGCTCTAGGTACAATATTGGCACCACAAACGTGAAGACAACTTGTATCAAGATCTGATTGAGCTCAAAATGACAGCCAGAATTTAATTCTCTTAACCACCTGCACTAATTAACCTCCAGAGCAAGACAACCCCACAGCACATAACAATGTCCAATACACCAGTAATGAACCATTTATATTTACAGTGACTGAAACATTTATCATTTTTCAAAATACTTCAAAAACTTGCACCGAGAGAGTTTCATTTAGTTTCAAATGCCCTTTCAGAAAGGACATTAGAGGATGACTTATCTGATCTTGGTTTAACAAACATTTTTTTGCCCTTGTCTGCTCTGAAGCGGAGTGAAATGAAAGCTTTGCTTATTTGCTGAAGAGCTGAACTGGTGCTCCCACTGGTGGTTGTAAAGTTGCCAAAAACTTGCACTGAGAGAGTTTCGTTTAGTTTCAAATGCCCTTTCAGAAAGGACATTAGAGGATGACTTATCTGATCGTTGTTTGACAAACACATTTTTTTGCCCTTGTCTGCTCTGAAGCGGAGTGAAATGAAAGCTTTGCTTATTTGCTGAAGAGCTGAACTGGTGCTCCCACTGGTGGTTGTAAAGTTGCACAATTACACTCAGATTTTGCCCAAGAGCAAGGATTTACATATTGTTTTCAGATGTCATTTAGATACTCGCACAATTACACTCAGATTTTGCCCAAGAGCGAGGATTTACGTATTGTCATTTAGATATGTCATTTAGATACTGTGGGACTGAATTCTCCAGCCAGTTGGTTTAAGTTGATGTATTTCACAAGAAGATGACAACTGTCATTCAGAGTGGACGTACTTGCTTCAAACACTGCAGGAGGACACCAAAGACCATGGAGTATGGCAGATGTCCTATCCGAATGGTGGCGTTCTGGGAAGGCACACTGGGACTTCCTGAAGGCGGAGAGAGTGTACCAGCAGGCTTCTTCTCAGAAGTCCTCTTCTCTGCTTCTCTACAACATCAAAAGGGAGAAAAACATACGTAATGTAAAATCAAGACCAGAACAGCCTATTCATGTGACCTACAGTGCCACCTGAGCCAATTTACAACAATATAAATTGCATTTTCAATTAAAAACCACAGCATTGCCCAGTTGTCCTGGTTTGACAAAAAACTACAACACCAGCAGACGGACAGTAATGCATCCTTTTGGTCAGGTTAAGGATTTTTCTACCCAGGCCCCTAGCAAATTTAAAAAAATATCTTTTTGGGAGTGCGTAACACAAAGAACTACAGATGAAGCTATAAAATTAAAAATAGCCAGATTTGTCCAAATCATTGAATCAAACTTCAATGTGAAAACTTGAATTTATAGGCAGGAAATTGCTGATATTTTTGTGAGCAGGAACAGAAATGTCATGCCTGAGACTGACAGCTCTGTAGGCAAGTGGTTTGTAAGAACAATTCACCAATGGCTTATTAGTCGAGACAATCCTAGGTCGTAACTACAGATTTGTCTAGCAGCTGATTCAGTAGGATTTGGAAGATTTAGAAAAACTACAGATTGCTACTGATGGACTATTAAGCTTGTGCAAAAATATGAAGTAGTTTGGAGAACAGCTTTTGCTTAATGCAACGAGAAACCTACACAAAATCACATAGACAGTAAGGGCTGAACCTCACTGCCCCATCCTTGTTGGAAAGGCCAAGACGGTGGAGGGAGTCAGCTCGAAGCATCAGCAGGAAATCAAACACCTGCAACAGAGAAAACACTGGAATCACTCAAAACCCAAACCAATGGGGTGCTCTCCCACTTCCTCATGTGATACTTTTACAAGTACAAAGGGATTTTTAATAGATGGCTAGCTCTGTAGGAGGCAGCACTTCTAGTGTTACAGCACATATACATACCCCTACTAGCCAAGAAACATTTAATTCCATTTCTGCCAAGCTCTAGAGCCCACATTCCCCACCTACCAGCCAAGAATTCCAAAGACAGCATGCAGCTCTCGACCCAAAAGCACTGCTTATACCTGCAATCTGATGCTGCTGGCAACAGCAAGGCTGTAGGTGTAGATGTAATGGCGTTGGATGTGGTGAATCAGCATCTCGTACACCCGCATGGCGTGGCTGGAGGGTAAGCTGTAGAGCTTGGTCTACAGAGGAACAGAAACACAAATGAAAAGGCAGGCTGACACCTGTTCTTTGGAAATGTGTACTGCCACTGAGAAGTCAAGAAAAACACAGCAAAAACTTGCTCCTGAAAGCAAGGTGAACAGATGGCTCTGGACAGAACCTCTGTGAAGACTCCAGAGCAACTCTGCTGGCCTCCAGGAGTGCACTGGTTGGAACAACCAGCTCTTCACAACTACTTAACGTATCTCAGGACACACTACCCAAACACAAGGTTATGAACCACTCCCTTTCTGCTAGTTTATGAACACATCTGCCCTCCACACATGAAAATGTGTTCATATTCATTGCACAACAGAAATTAAGAGATAAAACATTTAACAACCAATCATACAGTACCCAAAAGCAAAAGGTATGACCAAAACTATGAAAATATGAAGTGGATAAAACAAAAGTTGGAATATTTGAGAGAATGGTTATCTAAAAAGCCAAGCTCAGCAGAAGACTATTCTGAGGAAGACATGTTTAATGCTCTGTAGCATTTACCTGAAGAATTATCAGGAGACCAAGAACTGCTGTCTTGACATCCTCCAAAGAAGCTGAATACGATAGCAAGTCCCTCTCTTCCAGTTCAGAAGGCGATGAGAGAGAATGTGCAGCCACCTTTTAAAAAGA